CAAATCAACTATATAAACTATAGCTAATTAGTATTATTCGCCAATGCGTCATCAGAAAATATCATGGATACTCGCATTACAATTGACAAAAGTTCACGGCTTCGTCTTTAACATTTCGCGGAGAACAGCCGCCAAATGTCTTTTGTTTCATTAAAGTCAAGGGCATCAAGAGAAAACACAATCACAATGTCCTCGCCGTTGCTCCCGCTTCCATGTTTCCTTCTCTCGGTCGGCCTCCTTACATGCCATCCCCAGCGTGAGTGTCTTGTTTCTAGCTCGCACCTTTTGGGCCTTTGCCTCACCATAGTGTCTGTCACTCCCAAACCACCTTTACCATTGCTGTGTCGCACGATTATTACATTAAAGAAGTAACTGTGATCGTTTATTGAGACTGTGGGATCCGAGAGACAGCCCCAGAAATAAAGTTGCGATTCTTAGCATGACCCAGTCCCATTAGGACGATGAGGCACATCAGACAAGAAGCACACCTACTGCATATACTAACACGGGTATGGCAAACGTGACGAACATTATGACAGTTTTGGTTATATTCAGTATTCACTGCTTATGGAACATCATTTACTACAATCAGTGCTCGTTGACATTTTTTAATTATTTTTCAAAAAATGTATGACGACATTGAATGTGAATATTGCATCTCATATCTGCTCAGTCTTTATTGCATTGTAATGGAAAATAATAAAAGAAACCATATGTTTTAGGAGCTTTAAAGGCTTGGAGATTCCGATGAGAATCAGTCTAGAGAAATGGCAATGACAATCTTACTTATTCTTGTAGAGTAGGGAGACAGGTTCGTGCTCTTCTAAACCTGGAGACGGGCGTATGTATCACCCCGTCCCCCCACCTGTGTCCTTGCATAAATGAACGCGCACAAATGTACTCGCATACACACAAAATCGGACGGTAAGCGTTAACTACATTTTCTATGTTTTTTTTTATGTTTTTGCACACTACATTAAAGGCTTTGCGTTTTGATTCAGATATTTTTTAGATACAATAGAAACTTAAGTGAATTATTTTTTATGAAATTCTTCTGATGCAAATCTTCATTTTAATGCCCAGTTACAGTCACATCTATGGAAACCAAAAGCCCGATTTTTTGCTGTAAATGCAGACGTTACCTAATAGCAGTTACAGATGTATGTTTTGGCAAAACCCCTGGTACGAATTATCTCGCAAATCTACAAGTGAAAAATTAAGAATTGAAAAAATATATATTACAAATGATGCTCTCGTATATTCCCTGCCACACGCAGATCACAGGGATTGCATATTTAAAGATCTTGAAGATATAAGAACCTTAAATCACACCAGGTCTCATGGGCGAAGGTTCTGCCCTCCTTATGGCGGTTGTGATCAAAGTCTGATGTAAATTAGTACTTATGTAGACTTACTCGTACTTTAGACTTGTGCTTTAGTTCCACACTATAGACGTATTCACACTTTCGTGGCAAAATATTTTCGTCCGACCCGAAGACAAAATCTAAAGAATTAACCCGAACCACGAAAGTCGATCTCTCACCAGCCTCGTCAGTGAGCCATGGCTTTGCTTGTAAGAGCTGGCAGTCACCTTCCTTCTTGGCGGAAATGAAAGTGGCGAGAATGATGTCGTTTCTCCCTGTATCCAAGGTTTAAATGAACATGTGCGTATTTAGACCTCACCCTGCATCGACACTGTGGGAATGAGTAACGTACAGACTGATATCTAGCAGTCTGTACAAAAGCAGCAGGAGGATGTTGCTGCAATATCTACTAATTGTTTAATCTGCGAATGTTTGTCGCCATATCACAGTATTACAGGATCTACTTGTCTGCCGTATCTGTAGAGTAATGAGTCAGTAATGTAAAGCTCAGAAGTATTTAGTATCCCTTATCATTATCCTACCTAGTATCGTTTTGTTCACTGCTGTCGCTTGAATTATGTTTGTTTTTTTTTGCATTTTTTCTTTGTAGAATATTTATCATCGTATCACATCTGCATTTCTGCATGACTTCCCTCACTACAATTTATTTTTCCACAACAGTTCAAGGAACACAAACGCAGCTGTCTTATGCTAGTTGTTGCTATTATAAAAAACATAAACCTGAAGTCAGTGATGAAATATAAATATACGATTATTCCATCAGATTTCCCTTAACCGAAAAACAAAGAACTTGAAGATAAACGTTAGAAACATAAAGAAAATTGTAAATGGGAAAGAAGGGGAAGCAAGCGATAATGGGGGAGGGGGAAGGAGTGCCTAGCTGGAGGCTAATGAATCGACGGCCGCGGGCACTCTGGGAAAACTTGTGCGGCCGCGCCTCTCGATCCTCAGTGTCACCCTTCTCGGTACTGCACAGTTGACATAGTCGTTTCTAATCGCCCATTGTGTAAATTGTGAGTCCGATTTTCAACTTTAATACTCTGACGCATTTTGAATTTGGCAGTGCCTGAGGTTAACATGCGACAGCTGTTGCATGATGTCAACAATGGCACCGAAGCAAAAAAAGTCAACTGGAAAAATCAAGATGTTTAGAGAGCGTCAGTCGCGCCAAGGTGAGCCTTACATTGTCCTCTTCGTCTGGCATTTCCTCGAGTCATCGCCAGAGCAGTGCTCGGGGTATATATACTCCGGCGGCCGCAAGTGCGTCTTCAGGCAAGCAGACAGACACGATGGTGAGTTCTTCAGTCGCGGAGTGAGTTGTCCCTCTGAAGGAGACACCAGCCGAGGCTTCATTTCCCCGTCTTTCTCCGCAGGTCCGCCGCGAAGTCCCTCTCGCCGTGGCGCTCGCTGCGTCGCTCTTCGCCGCCACCGCCGCGCTCGCCGCCGATACCCGCCACGGGATCGGCGTGGTGGGCGTGGGCGCGGGCGGGGGGGCCCTCATAGCGGGCGTGGGAGTCGGGCATGGGGGCGGCGTCGTCGGAGGAGTGGGCGTTGTGGGAGGCCACGGCGGACTGGCGGAAGGGAGCAAGAGCTGCAGGTACTGGTGCAAGACGCCCCAGAACCAGGCGTATTGCTGCGAAGACGAGAGCGACCACGTCTCGCAGCCCTTCGGTGAGGCTCAGAGTGATTTTCTGTTTTCCTTTCTGCCGAAATGAGGCCCAACCAGAGCAGGGTTCTTCGGGGGGCCGGGAGGATCTAATGAAAATGAACATTTCTATTAGCGTTTTTACTTTAAAGTTTAACAGTGCTTTGTGTATATCACTCACGACGAAATAAAGAATATACGGTGTAGTAGGACTTTATACATGTTATTCATGAACGTTCTTCCCCCTCCCAGTAAAGCCAGGCAGCTGCCCGCCCGTGCGCCCGCAGTGCCCCCCCGTCCGGTCGGGCTTCCGCCCCCCCAACCAGTGCAGCAATGACTCCCGCTGCCCCGGACACGAGAAGTGCTGCTACGACACCTGTCTGGAGCACCACACGTGCAAGGCGCCCGGCAGCACCTGGTAGGGACAGCGGCGGTCGCGTCGGAGAAGCCGCGCAAAGACTTGGAACCAACGTTTCTCGACATGAAATTAATTCGTTTTTCTTTTCAGGCAAAATGTAAGTTACCCCAAGATGAACGCCATATGTTAACCGAATTGTGTAATAGATGACGTCTGTGACATAATAGGTGACTCTAGTGGAAAAAAATATATACATACAAAGTTGCATATGATTTGATTTAATAAACCATTCCATCTACTTTAAAAGAGAAGGTCAGGCGCATAGGACAATAGGCGATATTTACGGCATGTTATCCCTGTTTGATTTCAAATACGGAATAAGGAAAATGAAGGAGTTTGTGAAGTAGATGCAGTGCTAGACTGTATTTATTTATTCATTTTGCTCACTGTATCTAAAAAGGAAAAGGGATATTAGTACGGAGAGTATATCTATCCTGACTAATTTTATGTAAATGGAAGTATAATGCGATAAAAAAAATGATAACTGACAATAAAATATTTTTAATTTTCTGGAAATTTGGCATCAAGAAGTATTACATTATAATAATTTTCTGTATGTATATTTATTTTTAAAAAGTTTTTTTTTCTTCACGGTATGTCTCCAGTTTCTTTGATTAAGTCATTCATAAAGCTTGCGTTGCGGAGTTATGAAGATCGTGATGTTTGGTTTCTTGTTCCCGATTTCCCTTTTGCAATTCTGTATTTATGTACTGATATATACTGCAGACAAGATTTTTCATAATGTAAATTCATGAGGAGAAGCATCTGGCGAGAATCAAGGGATTAAGAATGGTAGAGAAAAAGGGAAACGGAGAGGGCGAAAAAAACGAACATGTTTCTCTCTCTCTCTCTCTCTCTCTCTCTCTCTCTCTCTCTCTCTCTCTCTCTCTCTCTCTCTCTCTCTCTCTCTCTCTCTCTCTCTCTCTCTCTCTGTCTCTCTCTCTCTCTACCTCTCTCTCTCTACCTCTCTCTCACTGGCTCTCAATCTCTCACTCAAAAAAAACGAATAACTAGACCCCAACCGCCACTGGGAGGAAACAGCTCAGCAGCAGGTGCAAGGGGCTACCGCCCTACCTCCTGCCCCCCCTCCTCCAGCAGTGCTACCAGTCATCACTAACAACTCTGCAGGACGAGCAAAATCCATACAAGATGTAGACGAAGACTGTTACACCAAAGCCATATGAAGAAACTAGAAAAGAAAAGACAAAAAAACGAGAACAAGCACCAAAGCCGTTAAAAGGGAGCAGATCGTCCAGACACAGTCTACCTTTACATCACCAGTTGTCACCCAGACACAAACGAAGAGGACATAGAACAACACTTATCTGAAAAGTTTCAAAACATTTCAAATGCAAAAACCCATAAGACAGTGATGACACATGACTACTACACCAGATTCACAGTGTCAGTAAGGGGAAAGGACAAACTACACAGGAAAGAAGTGGGTACCATGTTATATCTGAATCACATACGAAACCAGATTACTACTGAAACTAGAATCATGGATGTATAAATCTAGCTCAAAGCATCATTAACTATTGTTCAAACATTC